CACTCGGTCCAGGAGAGCTTGGATCATTGAGGTCCGGAAAGAGAGTGAAAGGACGAGATGAGCCCATGTGTAATGAGCGATATAAAGAGAAACAAACGGACGACATAGATTGAAAGGGAAAAGAAAAGGATTAATGAGAAAATTGAACTTTGACGAGAAACAAACAGAAAATGTATAAGAAAATGGGGGAAAGGAAGAAAGGAAAATTGAATCTATCTACCTCTACAAAAACGGCTGGTGGAGAGAGAAAACCCTAGAACGAAAAATAAAAAGCAGGAAAGTAGAGAGACAAAGGAAGAAGGATTTTGAGTGCGAAAAGTTTGGGTATTTTCAGAGTTTGATAGGAAAAAATACGTGCCAAACAAGGCATGTAATAGAGTCGGTTGTTGAATTCGAAAAGTTGGGGTATTTGTTGGACATCTAAATGGTAAAAAAATAAAAAACTAACTAAAATATGAAAAAAAAAATCAACAAAGACAAACGAAAATCTGTTTAAAGACAAACTAAAATATTTGTTTTAGATATGAGGGTAAGGCTTATGAGGTTTCTCATTAGAAACCCCATTAAAGATGGTTTTGCATGATGATGTTTCGATGGTGGAAATAAAATAAACAAAAGATGGAATATAGATTATGATGATTTGGGGGAGCTCACAGATGGGCATTGATCAAAAGGAAATTGAGTGGTTGACAGAAAGAATCTCTAAAAGAAAAAGAGATAGTCATAATAATAAATAAATAAATAAATAAAAAGGTTAGAAATAATTCAAAAAGTTTATTATTTCTCTAAATCTAAAAATGAAGTTGATAAGGCCCTACATGCCCAAATCATAACTAAAAAAAAAACCGCAGCAGTGAAGCTACATGTAATTTTTTATTCCTTCTATATTTGTAATGGAACACACATCCTAGAATGTTTTAGATAAAATTACATTTTTTATTTTTTTATTTTTTTTGGGTTTGGCCTCAAAATAATAATGTGTGCTAAAAGTCTAATTAACCTATATGAAGATTAACATTTCCTCTCTATAAGGTTAATTATAATTAAGAGTTAGTAGGATGATGTATGATGCGCAACGATGTCTTATCTTGCCCAAAAAAGGGATAGAAGTAAATCGATTAAAAATATTATAAACTAAAAATTATGTTAGAAAAATTTCATTTGTAAAAATTTAGTAATTTTGCATCTTGAAAAGTAAGAAAAGTTATATTTAAATAAAAAAATTAAATAATAATTATTTAAATGTGAAAGACCTTCGTTTGAGATTTTGCTTGGGTCTCAAAAATAATTCATTGAATTGTGTCTTTAAAGGGAGGGTGTTCTCATTGGTTAAGAGTCTTGAGATAATCACTTTGGATGGATATTAAGTAAATTATTACACTAGATTAAAAAAAAAGAAAGAGAAAACTGATTTTATTAAAGTCAAGGGATGACATCCCCGATTGCAGAGAAAAAAAAAAAAAAAAAAAAAAAAAGAGAGAGAGGGATTTTGTTTTTGATAACAGCCACATGCTGACTTCACTTACTCGACTCTCCCGCCGATCTCTTCTTTTTTTTGTCGCCTTGGATGACCCTTGAAGGCTCTGCCTCTGTGTGTACAAGACCGCCGAGGGAGTTGACTCCCTGCTGGTTGTCAAAGGCGAAGTATGAAGGTGTTCCGAATCGGGTCATAACGGTGGTCTTTTGTTTCAACTCCTTGTTTTCCGCCTTTAGGGTGCAAATCTCTGCTCGTGCATCTTTGTACATACGTTGGAGCAGAGAAAATAGGGCATTTAACTGTTGTACTTCACTAATCCTATTTTGCAGCCGGTGAGATAATTTGGTAACCGCAGTCACTCTCTCCATGCAAGAGCTCAGTGTGAAGTGGTTGGCCTCAATGTCAGATTGAGTAGCCATGATTTGCTTAACTGACATCTTGAGAAAGTTAAGAAGAATGGGAGCAGGGGCACTCGGTGCAGGAAGGTTAGAAAGAATAGGAGCAGGGGCACTCGGTCTAGGAAGGTTAGGAAGAGTAGGAGCAGGGGCACTCGGTCTAGGAAGGTTAGGAAGAGTAGGAGCAGGGGCACTCGGTCTAGGAAGGTTAGGAAGAGTAGGAGCAGGGGCACTCGGTCTAGGAAGGTTAGGAAGAGTAGGAGCAGGGGCACTCGGTCTAGGAAGGTTAGGAAGAGTAGGAGCAGGGGCACTCGGTCTAGGAAGGTTAGGAAAGGTAGGAGCAGGGGCACTTGGTCCAGGAGAGCTTGGATCATTGAGGTCCGGAAAGAGAGTAAGAGGGCGAGATGAAGCCATGTGTGGTGAGAGATGTAAAGAAAAAGAAAAGAGAGTCAGAGAAATAGCAGAGAATAGACTGAGTTTTGGGACAACTTTCTTCCTCCGTTCAGTCTTTTTTTTTTCTCTCGATAAGGAAGAAGAAACAGAAGAGAGCAATGAAGAAGAAGGAGATGGAAGAGAATGATGAAGAAGAAAGAGAAATGCATGAATAAGTAGAAGAGGGAAGATACTGATTCAGAAGAATATAGAAGAGAAGAAGACAAGAAGGAGAGAGAGCCGAGGCGAGCTTACAAATCGAGGAGGTTTGCTTTTGTCGGCCAACTGACGCAAAATTTAGGCCGCGTGTCAGACACAGTTTTCAAAGGAAGAGAAAGAAGCATGAAAGTTGTATACATAAATGTATCTATATTGTATATTTACACATTATATACATTTATTCAACTATTTTGTCACAAGAGTGACTTGGGTTCAGTGGTTTGGCTCAATGGTTAAAGGACCAAGGGACGAAGCCTGAGGTCAGGGGTTCAAAACCCCGTATCCCTGCATTCGTGTTTTATTTCCTTTTGCGTGTTTTGCTTACACGCGATGACGTCAACTTACGGAAGATTCCGTCGTAGTAACGGCATGTGCTCGCTGACGTCCATAGTAACGTCAACTTACGGAAGATCCCTTCCAGGGGCCTTAAAAGCATGAATATTCTTCACTTCCTGCCAAACCTCCTCATTAGTAATACTTTTAGCAAGTTTGGAGTTGAACTCCTGAGTCACCTTACAAACCACCAAATTATTCCAGTGATCAAGAGAGGTGGTAGGGGAATAGCTAAAATGATTAACAAAATAACTGGTAATCAGATTCTTGAGTTGGTCAAGTTGATCACACCAACCCCCACTATCATTTCTCAGTATCTCAATCTTTCTCCTTTTCCTTTTGGTGATAGTAGTAAGCTGGAAATTTTTTGTGTTCCTCTCACCTTGGGTAATCCAGTTAGATCTAGATTTTTGAAACCACAGAAGCTCTTCCTGGTAAAGCACTTTATTATATTGATCGATAAGATCTAGCTCAAGAGTATGAAGGTTATGAGAATAGATGTTGGCCTGGGATTTTTGAACGCCTTCTATCCTCCCAAGTAACCATCTCTTCCTTTTAAAGATATTGCCAAAGACCTCTTTGTTCCAGACACTAGCTGCTTGAGCTAGTTTCTGGAGGTTATTACTCAGGGAGACATAGTTCTTGGTCCAACTATTATCAATAACATTTATGAAATCCTTATGAGTAATCAAAGCCGCCATGAATTTAAAGGGTTTACAAGTGGGATTAAAAGGAGACTTACCTTGAGTAAACACCATCATAGGGGAGTGGTCTGAGTAAGTGCGAGGGAGATTCCGAACTGCTCCATTTGGGAAACTGGTTCCCCACTCTGTATTGCACAAAGCTCTACCCAACCTTACCATAGTATTTGCCCAGCCTTTTTTGTTGTTAGACCAAGTCAGCCTAGGACCTGAACACCCTAGATCCATGAGCTTGCAATTATCAACCGTTGTATTGAATTTCCTGCTCCTTCTCTGATCTTGACTCAAGGACTGGTTTAGGTTACCTTGTAGACTTCATTTTTCATTAGGTGTGGTGAAGTCATTAAAGTCACCAACAACTAACCAGGGTTGAGTCATATGACGAGCAACTTCCTCCAAGTGATCCCATAACTCTTCTTTCAGGCTACTATTTGGACTTGCATATACAGCTGAGAGCAGCCAGTTTAGGTAGTCCTGCCTAAAGATGGTAACAGTGATTTGCTGGGAGCTGGCTTCCACCACTCTAACATTTACTATGTTTGGGTTCTAAATCATCCAAATACCCCCACTATGGCCAATTGGGTCTACATGAGCTAAAGTTGTAAAGCCCATACAATTGAAGAACAAACCCATAGCCTTGAACTGAACTTTAGTTTCCATAAGGACAACCAGGTCTGTTTTATGGATCTGAACTAAATCCCTCACACTCCTTTTAAACTTTTCGTTCCCTGCTCTTTTGCAATTCTAGATGAGTAAATCCATAAATGGTATAGTTTGTTGTGGTAAAAGTGTTTGGCTATCTAATGCCAAGTAGCCTCTGATGGCTTTGAAATCATCTTCCATCAACTTCAGTGGTGTCATTGATAGGTAATGCATATCCTGGTTTGCATCCACCTGTCTCCATGGTTAAAGCCTCAACTTTATTGCCTCGTTCCACCATTTTGAGGTGATGAGGTGTAACACTTCTTTCCGTGGGGACATGTACACTAAGACTCTGTTCTGATGTAGCATGTGCTTCCCCGTAGGGTAATTCTCTCATTCCTCCTCCATTTTTATCAGGGGGAACTCAGAATTTGGTTCTAGAGTTTATTCGAGTAGCAGAATTTATAGAATGTGAGATATGGTCGGTTGGGTGAGTGGGTGGGTGGTTTATGGTGGTACAGAAATGGTGTTTACTACTCTATGGATTTGATGTCTCACACTCTCCCCTTGCTGCCGCTTGATCTTGTATCTTCATGTCAATGCCACCTATATTGCCCATTCGAGCTTCCCCACCTTTCTTTTCAGTAGCCATACCAAGGCTAATTATCTTAGCCTTTTTTGCTGGTGTTCTGGCGTTATACCAAAAGTCCCTATCTACGTGGACTTTTCATTTTCCTTTTTCCTTGCTAACTTGGGCTTTGGGACCTGGCTGGGCCCCTTCCTCGTGTAGGATCTCAAATCTATTATTCTGTTGGGTATTAGCACCTCTATACACAGTTGGGCCATTTGATTTTCTTCGTTGGCTTGGAACAGTCATCCATGGCCCATAATTCCCTAGGCCTACCTCATCTTTATGCTCTTTCCCACTTGGGTTTGGTCTAGAACTGACTAGGCTTCCATTTCTTTGGCTTCCAACGCCATTCAATGCCTGGCCTTCTTGCACCGTCACCGGAATAGGTTTATCATTGCATGCCTCTCTCTGGTGACCAATCCCGCCACAAGAAAAACATAGTGAGTGTAAATGTTCATATTCAACTCCATAAGTGTGTTTACCTATAGAAAAATGAGAGCTTAGGGGCTTTCTAAGGTCCATTTCGATACAAACTCGTGCATATTTGCCTCTCGCTGCCATGGTTGTGTTGATGTCGATCTTGAGTGGAACTCCAATAACTTTTGCAATGTGGTAGAGGATTTTCTCATTGTAGTACTCAATGGGGAGATTAGGAAATCTCACCCATATTGCGGTAGTATCCTATTCCGCTTCGTCCGATTTGAAATCTTGTTGCCATTTTCGAACTGTGACGTAGTGATCCATTACAATCCATGGTCCTTTAGTGTATACCTTGGTGTAGTCATCAGCCAAGTCAAACTTAACTATGAAGAATCCGTTCCTAATGTCTATGGCTTCAAAGTCTGCTTGGAGCCCCCAAATCTTGGCCATCTTGGTCATGAACAATTTATACCCTATGGTTTTCCCCAATAGCCTCACGATCAAACACTTTTTCCATGGCTCACGCACTTTCTTCAGGAGGCCTGGTGGTATCTTTACTTTGGGTATCCCATCTCTGGCTTCCTCCATAACCTCATCATCTTACTTCAACCTCTGATTGGTATTTGCATCATTCTCGTCGAAAGAGAGCCCCTCCACATCGCAATCGAAATTTTTTTCATTTTGGTTTTCCTTGAATCTCAAACGAAGAAATGAGCAAGCATAAGTATTATTGTCATTTACTTAATTTTGGTGATTTTTGCACAGCTGTACATGGTCTCCACGTCGCAATTTTGGCCAATCTTTCTCAACACTTGTAAAAACCTACTCTCGAGTAAATATATACTCGCTATATTGTGATATCAACAATTGAAATAAGGGTTAGGCTTCTTTCTCAGTTTGAGATTAGATTGAAGCATGTTATTAGGCTTGTCAGAATTTATTATTAGTGTTATTTTAATAATTTAAATCATTAAATGTGTAGAATTTGTTAAATATTTTATTCTTGTAAAAAATTACATTAATTAGATATTGATAGTGTGTCATTTCAAATATTTAATTAACACTATGTTACTATAATAATAATAATAAAATAATACATCTAATTACATTGCTATACGTGCTAAGGATGTAAATTAATTTAGCATTAGTTTATCAAAAATATGATAAATAGATTTACTTTGGAGCAAGATAAACAGTAATTAAATTGAGAAGATTTGCTGGAGAGATGGATTGGGCCACCTGTGCCATTTAGCAGCTTAGGGGGATGAGTCATCAAATTTGAGGCATCATTACAAGGTGAGTCATTACCTAGGGCTTGTGTATATAGAGGGGCTGTGAGAGCCAGTAAGGGAGCTAAAGGGGAAAAAAAAAAGAAAAAAAAAAGAGAAAGATGAGCAAGAGAATAGTCTGGAAAAGTTGGCAAAAAATAAGAGGGAAATGGTAAGAATTAATGTAGAGGTGAGTTACATTATATCTTGAGTTATTATAATATATTAAACGTATATTTTGAGTCAGCATAATTTATTTTATGTAAATTATGATTTATAAATTATATTAATATTTCAGTTACGTTGATTATTTTCTGAATTCTATTTGTTTAAATTGAAATCCATGGATATGGTTATTTAAATTTTAGAAATTATTTGACAATGATTTTGTAAACAATTATTTTCTATAAGTACCACCATGGGAGTCCCATGCCTTGGGGAACTTAAATAAACCATTGGCTTCTGATTGGTTATCTTGTGGCGCTCTGCTTGTCATGGATCCATTGATCTTTGTTCTGTTCTGTATCGTAGTTATAGTTATTTATTTACATAATTTATATATTTCCGTTTCTATCACTTAACTAATTTGGTTATTCAAACTAAGTTATGTTAATGGTTTTAGCTTAAATAACTATTCATGATTATTTTATGTCCCTTAAACTCTTGGCATAATATTTCTCACTCTGTTGTGTGCTTATAGCTATTACATTTTTAGGTGATGAGATGTAAAGGAGACTAGTAACCTCATGTAGTGGAATTCGCATAAGAATTTGATGCTGATCTGTTATTTTGTTTTTCTTTTATTTTCTCCCTTTTGTTTTTTTTTATTGATGGCTGGTCACTGAATAATAAAATAATAAAAGCTTTATATATGTATTTTCTTTTATCAAAATGGTAGAATGGAGTTAATTTTGTATTTCATTATTTTCTTACTTCCATTCTGCCTCCGCTTGCTCCATTTAATTTGTTAAGATTATAATTAATTAGTAAGTCATGATTCCAACCTTAAACCCCTGGAGCGGGGTCGTGACAGATAGATATTTGATCAAATCATATTTCTATAACGGTAAATATAATTTTCAAAATAAATTGTTAGTAAAAAATCTGATCTGATCAAATAGTTATCGATATCCGATCAATATAATTTTTGTAGGAATGAAATACTTAACAAACTCTACACATTAACGGTTTAGATCATCGAGAGATAACCTGTAGTGAGCTCTATGGACCCGAACAACACAGTCCAATCCATTATGTAGACTGGAAAGAATTTGAATCCTTAAAAAAATGATAAATTATAAATACACCCGTTAAGATTTGTTTAAGATATGAATTATTTTGTGTGATTTAAAAAATTACAAATATCTTATTGTTAGAATTTTCAATTTAACAGAATTAATTAAAAAAATAAAATTTTTAACTGCTCTTCTATACAATAATAAAATTACTTGAATTATTAATTAAAATAAATTTATAAAATTATTAAAAATTATTAATTGACTTGATCATTTATTAATAAAAGGGACAATTTGTTATAAAATTAGTAATTTCAAGAGGCATAATGTAATTTTCAAAATCACTGAGGGTAATTTGTATTTTAAAAAATTTCAAGATGTGTATTTATAATTTATCCAAAAGAAGAGAGTAAATTACTATAATCTCTTCTCATGTTTGATGAAAATATGATAATTGTATGATTTTTTTTTAAATTTTATTTCACATTTTATTTTCATCAATAATTCATTAGCTATATGAATGAAAAAAAAAAAATTATCATATTTTTTATATAAAAATATATATTTTCGTAATTTATCTTGTTGTGTTTTCATATAATTTGATTTCTTTCACCATATAAGAAGGATGTTAGTTAATTCAGAAATATTCTATATTATATTTTTCGTTAATGACGCAGTTGAAAATTTAATAAGTAATACCATATTAACCGATTTTTGTTAAATAATTAATTGTAAAAATATACTATTCGGTATTAATTATAAGTTAATTTTTATGATTATAATTTTTTAATTATGAGCTAAAAA